CCCTCCTGTCTTCCACTGCCTCCTGTAGTTGTGTCAAATTCATGTTGGTTGCTTTGCAGACACTGTCCATCCATCTTGTTCTCCGTCGTCCCCTTCTCCTCTTGCCGTCACACTTTCCTAACATCAAGGTCTTTTCCAAGGAGTCTTCTCTTCTCATGAGATGGCCAAAGTACAGTCGATTTTAAATACAGTCAATTCTGTCAGACTCATTTTTGTTAAATAAATCATGACATGGTCTAATATGTCATATGTTGTTGAGGCTGTATTTAAATAATTTTCAGACCTGCTAAGGACCAGATGATTTTTATTAAGTTCTGATACCTAAAACCATAGAATTCAAAGAGGATGTATTTTCTTTTTCACATGACTGTAAATCAAGGACTGCCTTTCAATCTTTTCTTATAAGAACTGCACAAAGCAGCTGGCAAGCACAATTCCTCCACATTCATGAAACGTACAGAAACTATTTGGAAAAAAGGAAGGCATCTATACAACTGATTGGTTCAAAATTGTGAAAGGAGTATGACAACGCTGTACAGTATATTGTCTCCCGGCTTATTTAATTTATATGCAGAATACATCACGCAAAAGGCTGGACTGGAGGAATTACAAACCGGAATTAAGATTGCCGGAAGAAATATCAGCAACCTCTGATATGCACATGATACCACTCTGATGGCAGAAAGTGAGGAGGAATTAAGGAACCTTGTAATGAGGGTAAAAGAGGAAAGTGCAAAAAAACGGTCTGAAGCTCAACATAAAAAAAACTAAGATCATGGCCACTGGTCCCATAACCTGCTGGCAGATAGAAGGGGAAGAAATGGAGGCAGTGACAGATTTTACTTTCGTGGGCTCCATGATCACTGCAGATGGTGACAGCAGCCACAGAATTAAAAGACGCCTGTTTCTTGGGAGTACAGTAAAGCGATGACAAACCTCAACAGCATCTTAAAAAGCAGAGACATCACCTTGCCAACTAAAGTACACATAGTCAAAGCTATGTTTTTTTCCTGTAGTGATGTACAGAAGTGAGAGCTGGACCATAAAGAAAGCTGACCGCCCCAGAATTGATGCTTTTGAATTGTGGTGCTGGTGGAGGCTCTTGAGAGTCCCCTGGAGTGCAAGGAGAACAAACCTATCCATTCTAAAGGAAATCAACCCTGAGTGCTCACCGGAAGGACAGATCCTGAAGCTGAGGCTCCAATACTTTGGCCATCTCATGAGAAGGGAAGACTCCCTAGAAAAGCCCCTGATGTTAGGAAAGTGTGAAGGCAGGAGGAGAAGGGGACGACAGAGGATGAGATGGTTGGACAGTGTCATCGAAGCTACCAACATGAATTTGACCCAACTCCGGAAGGCAGTGGAAGACAGGAGGGCCTGGCGTGATCTGGACCCTGAGGTCACGAAGAATCGGACGTGACAAAATGACTAAAGAACAAATGGGGGCTTCCCCCCCCCGCTGTACAATGTGGCAATATGTCATCATCTCAAAACATAAGGGTATTTGCATCCGCACTTTTCAAACCCCATGGCATTGGTAGTTGCTCACAGCAGCTTACTGACTGAAGAACAATGAAGAAATGCATTGCTTGGACCTTACTGTACAATAGATTATGCTGCAGATTCCGCAGGTGGATTGCATTCCAATTTGCATAACATTCTGAGAGGAGCAGATAGCAGAGCTCACCAAGGAAGCTAAACTCAATTAATCTCCCCAGCTTCCATCCCTATCTTAGACTACAAGGGTCTATTCTAGCGATAGCTATATTTCTTATTTCGATGGTAGACTGAAGTTGCCAGCCACAGAGACTGGCGAAACGTTAGGAAGAAAAACCTTAAGAACATGGCCAAACAGCCCCGAAAACCCACAATAACCATCGTTTCCTGGAAGGTTTCTCTCTGAGAATGAGAAGGTGCAAGATTCACATCTCCTGAAGCACAGTGCTCCTACAACATACTGTAAGAAAGTTCGTCCTTTCCCTCAGGCGGCCCCTCCATTTCGGCGGGAAACAATAAAGGTTGAGTCTTGATAACTTTAACAGCAGAAACTTCATTTTCTCCAACTTCCTCCAGCACATTCTTAAACGGTTCTAACGGTTTCAAACTCAGCAACAAGCCTGAATCAACATTGTCCAAACTTTGATTAAAGTCCCAAGGGGTCAATGGCTTTGGACCCCATAAGGTCCCTTGAACTCCGGATGAGGGGGTGGGAGGCTCCTCATCGCACAAATCGTCCCACAACATTTGTGCCTAATCCACCCCCTTTCGTCAGGACCCTCGACAAACGAAGCTGTCATCCACTCACGCTCGCATTGTAGCTCGATCTCTCTCAGCACAATTACATTCCACTCTTTCACGGCAATACGCGGAGAAGTCTCTTTAGAGGTCGGAGGATCGGGCAAAAGGCCGCCCACTTTAAGATGGGGGAAATCTCTAATAAGCCCCTGGGTACGGACCTTCTCAAAAGCCCTTCGTCTTTCCTCCTGCTTCCTTCTTTCGTATGCCTCTACCACTGTACTGAACCACACCACCCCCTCCTTATCCTTATATTCCTCCTCAACTGTCACCTCTGACTCCTCCCACTCCCCTTCAGCTAAGCATACCTCCAACTTCCCCTCCCCCTCCCTTGCTGTCAACTCCTTTCCCTTTTCTTCTCCACTTTCACCGCTAGTCGGTCCTTCTCTCCATCACTGTTTTTCACTTTCACTTCTGCGGACAGCACACTTCTATCCTCTACACCTTCATACATACTTTAATGCATTTAAATTGCTCTTTCTTGATTCACAATTACTTGCATGAAAACAAAATTGGCCGTGTTCAGGGAAGCCAACAGAATTCCATGGATTCACAAAATACAATATGTATACACTGAACCCCAACTCTATCCCTCAATACAGTGGAATTCTACTGGAATCAGAAAATGATCTAAAACAAATCCAACCTTGTTTTTACAATAATGAATAATGTTAATAAACAATATATGGTGCTACCACTATTAACAGAATCTGGCTACAAGCAGAATCAGAGTGCAGAAGCAAACCCAGCAGCAGCCAGGAACTAAGGATGAGCACAGCAAAAACTTCGTTTTTGCTTTGCTTTGGGCTCTGTAGGGGTATATCTTTTAGTTTTGTGTATTTCATCTACCTGACTTTTTGTTTAGCATGAAACAAATCTCCAAAACCACCAAAATATACACCTTTAACAGAATAAACACAAGAAGTAGATGAACCAAACAACAATTTAAAAAAATTAAACAGAAAAAGTACCAACTCTCTCACTCACACACAAAGAAATAAGAAAAATGAAAAACACACAGAGAGACAGAGAGGTCACTCTCTCAAAAAACAAGAAAAGCAAGCAAGCAAATAAATAGAAAAAATACAGGTAAAGCCCCCTCCAAACCAAAATGACTGGACTACCACTCTATGCCTTCCTCTTTTTTGTGTTCTTTGAGTCCAGGTCAGCAGGTGAAGGGCAGCAAAAATAATTTTTGAAAAAGAAAGCACCAAAGAGCCAAAAGAAAAAGAAAGAAAGAAAGAAAGAAAGAAAGAAAGAAAGAAAGAAAGATAGATAGATAGATAGATAGATAGATAGATAAGAGAGAGAGAGAGAGAGAGAAAGAAAGAAAGAAAGAAAGAAAGAAAGAAAGAAAGAAAGAAAGAAAGAAAGAAAGAAAGAAAAATCCCTAAAGAAACCAGGAAAGAAATCCAAAAAACAATCCTAAGGAAGCAAATTAAAAATGAAAGAATCTAAGACAGAGTAGTGCACAGGCAGGCTGGAGGCAGCCAAGAGATCACACAATGAGTGAAACAAAGAAAGCAAGAAATAACACTCTGTCGGGGTTCCAACCAATTCAGGCCCTTTTATAATTGCAAAATTCCTGCTCCCTACAAACGTTTTGATTGGCTGCTGACAGCAACTCTTGGAATGCTATTGGATGACAAAAAATTCCCAGTGATTTGACAGACAAGGAGTGAAAGAAAGGGTAAACTAAAGAGGGAAATGCAAAACTCCTGAAACTTTTCTCTTTCTCTCTTGTTGACTCAGCAAATCCATGTTTAAGAGGCTTTCCTTTGGTAATCAATGAAAGAGCATGAAAATGAAAGTAAGAAACTCTTTTATGTTTTTGAAATTGGTTTTAACATGAAAATCCCATCCCTACTAAAATCCTCAGATGTTCAGAAAATTATCAGGAAATTTACATAGTAAGGCTTAGAGAAATGTATGTGTTTTGGGGCAGTAGAAGTACTGTGAAAAGAACATCATTCAAGTTACTGAACAAGCTTCTGCAGGCCATGAGTTTACATCACAATACAATTCAGCCTTGGACAGAGCGACCTCTTCAACAGCAATTTGATTTCCAGTCCCCTGGAATGAGTCCTAAATGGATTAGGCTCATAATTCAATTTAGAAGAGACTCCAGGTTACATGTGAAACCTGAGGTTTACCAAATAAATATTATATAGATTAAGATCAAGTGAATAAAATATGGCTCTCAATACAATTTTCTAAAAAGCACAAAGTCAGTGTTGTAAAGTAGCAGAAGCTTTTACAGATGATTTCATAAGAAAAAATGTGATCTATGAGCAATCTGTATTTGACCTCCACAATCAAGGTTCCTCCAGCCTGCAGAGTTTTATTGCATCTTTGCCACAACATCAGAATTCTGAATATGGCATTCTGAAAGAAAACCTCACTGGGGACTGCTCTGTACAGTACTAGGTTTTAAGACAATAAACAATGACAACTGGATCCTGCTTTAATTTTCAATATCTATTACACATTCATCTATCTGATTTAACTGAGCAACAAGGAAGAGGCATTCAAGATACACTCCTGACTTTACATATGCAAAAGCCCCACAGATGTTCTTGTTTTTATTACCATTCTAAAAAATGTACTAACACAGGACAAAGGTCACAATACTACTGCCCTGCAGTACAACATCTTCTAAAATCATAATAATACAAGTAAGAAGCAAAATATGGAGAAATACATACATGTGTCTTCACATCACCATCAAGGTTCTTGCTATACCTTAGGAACTCAGCAACAGTCCCATTCATGAGTCTATCAAAGGCTTTAACGTAAGGTGCTACATCTGTGGGAAAGAAAAATGTCACTAGTACTGGATGGCAAAGTTCATACATTCTAAATGCCTGACATGATTTAATTTTTAAAATGTAATATAAATAGTAGGCATTTATAAAACAATAAACAAAACAAAAAACACCACAGAAACCCATATGACAGATCTATTCCATACTCACTTACATACTATTATAGAACCGCTGTGTGGCATCTCTATTTGCACATGGTAGCTATCTGCCAGAGAAATACTACAGATATTTCTTATTTCGAACATAATGGAAGGCTTTCATGTTATTCATTCCAGAAGAGCTCAATTAACTGGAAGTAGAAAAATGTATCTCCTTAAGCCCTTTGGTCCCTCATTTGGAACCCATGTAACATATATGATACACCTTTTGTATTTTCCCCTCCTGTGTTATTGGTGACCGAGATAAATTGGGTCCCCCTGTTCCTCATTCATTGCTTCTTTTATAACTAGTTAGTAACAAGGAGTGATTTTAGCTAGTTGCAGAAATGTACAAACTTCAGCAACTTCACTGCACACACTATCCACACAATACACATCTTGCAAAGATGTGACAAGAAGCAGCTTGAATTTAAGACCAAGTTGTTTATTTCTAAAATAAAAAAGAACCTTTAATTTGAGCTTGCTTATCTCAAAGAACTACCATTTTTGTGTGTTACAGTCTGTCTCAGAACCACTGCACTTTCGTGCAACACTAATACATTGGCATTTGATGACAGTAAACCATAAAAGCCTAGGCAAACACCCGGCATCTCAATGCAAAAGTCTGTGATGGATGTTCTTCTGGTAGGTCATATTAGAGGTTCTCTATTTAGCTCTTTTAAAACTTGAATCTATAACTCTTTTAGATGAAGGAAGAGGAATACTGTTTTAATACATGATGGCAAGAACTACATATTTACAAACAACCAGCAGTAGGCTTTTTACTGTGGGCTATCTCTAAACAAAAGTGAAACCACTTAAAACATACATCCTGTTTTAATGTGATTCCTCACATTCAAGTAGAACATGTAGTTCTAGCCACCTAACAGCCGGTGCTGAGATTTCAGCTCACCCAACGTGTCGTGAAAACACAGCAGCTGGTGCTGCCTTCGTCTGAGCAAGAACAATGCCAGCTGGCCAGTGCTGAGATAGCCGGGAAGTCTCCCTGTACTGGTCAACCAGGGATGCTGTTCTTGCCCAGGGGATGAGTTCCATCTGCTCCATTTTTGCTGCATGTCAAGCAGGCAAGGGCTCTGCTGCCCTTCCTCCTCCATAAGATCTGCTTGTCCAGCAGGTGGTTGGGTGGTGACAGCAACAGCTGAGGAGTCTGTTGGTTGCAGCAGCAGCAGCAGAGGTGGCTCCTTAGCCATCAAAAACAGTGAAACCACCACTACCACTGTACTCCCCAGCAGCCACCATCCTGCTGCCCATCGGACAAGTGAGCTATGCAGAGGAGGAATGGCTCTCTTTTGCCCAACTGACTGTAAAGGAAGCCCTACTGCAGTTTAAAATAGTGTGCATAGGGTGCAATTTTAAAACACAGTAGGGCTTGCATCATGTGAAGTGGCAAAAGTCACTTCTCATTTCAGCTGATTTTTTACTAGGCACATAGCTGTGGCTGAAGTTGTCTTGCAGAAATGGAAGGAACTGTACTGAAGCTAGCAGATGGCTAGCATTCTGAGAAGAAATAGGGCCACAGTAATGAAGGAACAGTAAGTCTGCCTGCTCTTATTTCATTCTTTTCTCCACACCTTTAAGCCTAAAGAATGTCTGGGCTTTCATCCATCTGACAAATGTATATCCCTGCCTAGGATCTTCTTCCACAGTCATATCTATAGGGATTTTTATAGTGGAGAGCAAAGAAATTTCTTTAATTTTAGAAGTATGCTTCATATTGCACTCAAATGGCAACTTATCAATTCTACTTCCCACTTTCAATTAACTCGCTTGATGTATGACCACATGCTTTATATAGAAAAATGTGCTGTGGTTTAACAATCAAATTCAGTTCTAACTCTAGTAACAGAAGGAAGATGATACTATAGATATTCCACAAAACATTTTAGAAAATATGAGATAAAACAAATAGGATAATTCAGTGGTCAAGGCTCATCCCAGCTATTCAAAATGACCAAAGGCATGGTCACAGAAAACAATGATTTGAAGCCATTCTAACTTTTACTAAAAGATAATCATTCATTCTTCTTGGGCCTCTGTTAAAAGATTTAAAGATTTTCGTCGTTACTGATGCTCTGTTTATATTCAGTTTTTATTATCTCCTTTCTACTATCTTTAAACAAATCCTGCCATTTCTTTTCCCCCATCATTTTGTCCTTCTTGCACTTTTGACAAGTCCTGTACTTTTTGAAAAGGAATATAGAAAGTAAAGTAGTGCAAAATAATTGTAATGAAGCAAGTAAAAAAAGAGAGAAAGAAATGTCAAGCTGCTAGGGAACCTGACTTATATTTTCATAAAATGTTATATACAATGACTCTGCATAAGAAATCTTAAGAAGGCTAAAAATATATATCTACCATTTATGTTGCTGATTACTTCTGAAGAATTTATATTTTTGTGCACTTCCGTATAACAGAAATGTCTAGCATATATTCATCACACTGTAATAACAGTAATAAACATTTGTACTGAAAGATCAGCAGAAATATTGACAATGGCCAGAATCCTATTGGTTAATTATATCAGTTAAAATGTATTATGTAAACTGTTGTAGCAAAATGCTGCTAGTTATGGAGTTGCAGCTTGTATCCCTTGTCGCATTCCAAATCACATAACTGGTGCACCATGAGAAATATAAGCAATGAGTAGTTAACTAGTAGCAGTTTGTTACTGCAATTTATGCCTCTGTACTTATGCTGCCATAACTAAGTGACAGGGTTCTGGCCAATATACCTAATACACTAATGAAAATCGAATCTCTACTCCATTATATTATGGTTAGGATGAAAGTAATCACTTTTTATTTATTATTTATATGCTGCCTTTTTCCCCATAGGAGACCTTCTGACAAGACAGATGTCTACCTCCATTGACTCCATTGACTGTTCCACATTCCATTCCAGCAACCTTGTGTGATTCTGATATTAAAGATTCAAGCCTGATTACAGCATTCTCCAACCTCGCTATCAAAGACATCTCTGCCATTCTGGAAAAAAGAAGAAAAGAAAAGGCATCAATACTATTATGTGCTTCCTTTCAAGCCTGGAAACTATTCAGGATACCATTGAACTATATTAACAAAATCTCTCCTCCTTCAACTTTAAGGCTATTCCATGCAGTGGAATATTGTCAAACAATATGATCAAGGTTATCTTCTATTATTTATGCCACAATATCTTTTTTCAAACCATTAACATTGGATATCAATAAACGTGTGAATTCTCTTAGAAGTATAAACATGTTAGCAAATCAAATACCCCATCTTGGATAGGTTCCAAAACTCCTCTACAAAAGTTTCACAGGTTAAGCAAAACACTGCTTTTAAGTGTGAATCCCTAAGCACTAATATGCAAGTACAATTACACATCCATAAGTTTATTAAACTTTCATCTGTAAACTGGTACAGAAACAGCTAATGACTGAGACTGCAGTCCTAAATTCACTTGTAGGGAATTAATTTCATTCAGTGCAACAGGATCTATTTTTATGAGCAAATAGGTTTAGGATTGCACTACGTGATACCACACACACATTGCAAATAGCAGCAAACCTAAATAAAATTTACATTAAAATAACTATAGTTTAATGTCTCTTTTATTTAGGTCTGCAGCTACTTGTTACATGCAGATGTACATTATGTTGAGTCCAGGAAAATTGTTGATTCTCTCTCTCCCCCCCCCCTCTTTTGCTTTTGTTTGCTCTCTCTCTCTCTCTCCCTCTCTCTTTTGCTTTTGTTTATTTTCCTTTGTGGGGAGAATTAAAGCCTGGGGGAAAGTAAAACATGCAGTATTTACCTTCTTTTTCAACTTCAATTTGCTTTACTAGCTCAGCTTTTATTTACCTGGATGGAACATTTTAGTCCCGCAAAGTCACGTTGTGTTACAAAATTCAACACAATTACAACATAAGAATTTCACAGCATTGTCCCATGAGAAGTTATGAACAATGTCCCCAAGTTTGAGCCATAAATATTTCTCTAGTTCAGACAAAAAAGGGGTAGGACAAAACTAGCCCCATCATACAATTACCTTTTGCCACTAGGGAGCCTTTCTGTCACAGCCAATGTAACATATTGCCCAAAACTCAGTTTGTCATGATGTAATGTACAGTTATGCTGCCATAATTTTGTCAGCCATTATTCCTAGGTGCAGCAGGTTCTGCAATTCGATTGTGCAATCAGTTATGCAGTTCCTGTCACAATCAATTGTGCCCTGCACCAGCAGAAGTGCTTCATGGATAGCACTGCTGCATGGACTCTGTTGTAGGCTATAACGCCGAGTTATGCCTCCATAGCTGCACAAGATTTTAGCCATCAGGATAAAAAATGTCCCATGCTGTTTTTTCAGTGAACCGTTAAATCAAAAGGCAAACTGGTTACCAGTTGCTGGGGGAAGGGACAACACTGGAATTCTCCATGGGTTCAGGGCATTTAAGAAATCATTCAATGCAAAGGTTGTTTTTTATTTTATTTTAAAAGTCTCTCCCAATGGGGGCTAAGTACATGAAATAGCATTTGAACCTGATTGGATACTAAATGAATAAAAATATTTCTGCCACCCATGGAGAGCACTGGGATCCTGCAGAGGTTCGTCCCTGTCCCACACCCAGGAGAAGGGAGGCTGAGAACCATCCTTTGCCTCATGTCTTTTGCTACTCCAGACTGTTCTCTTGCCTACCACGGCAATTTTTCAGGAGGGAGGCACAGGGTATTGCATGGTGGATGGGGCATCACCTATCAAACCCACTATGTAGAATGGAAACAGTCATCATTATATATAACTCTAAAGCTGGGGCTGCAAGCTGGGGAACCCAAAAAGTGACTATATCCTTGTCAATTTTATCTTAAAAGGGGACAAATGAAAGGTACCGTATTTTTCCGTGTATAGGATGCCCCCATGTATAAGAGGGCCCCCACTTTTCTAATCCAAAATTAAGAAATCTAAGTGGGGATTAGCAAGTGTAGGGCAAAAGGGATCAAAGCGCTGCAGGATCTCTTTGATCCCTGCTTTCCCCTCCAGTTGTTTCTGTCTCTCCTTAGCTTGCTTCCCTTTATAAGATGACCCTCAATTTTTAGTCTAAAGCTTTTAGACAAAAGTATAGTCTTATAAACTTGAAGTTAAACTGTAATAAATAAAAGAAAGGCTGTACCAAAACTGTATGGAAACCACAGCAATGAATAAAGATACCGATTAACTCATCATTTTAGCCGAAAGAACACTCAGAAAACAAACATCTTTGTAGCATAACAGTGACCATTGAATTGTGCAGTTATATTTAATATACTGTATTTAATATTTTATAACAGCACTGAAACCTTTAATTATACAGGATTAAAATAGACAGAAAATCATAAGGTGAACAAAATAAGCTATTTTGAACCCATATTCAAATATAACTTCATCTGCAAAAATACATTCCAAATTTAATCAGAATCAACCCTATTGTCCATTTACACTAGCCAGTGAGCTTTGATGCATCAGATTTCAAAGATCAGAACACGCCTATCCCTCTCCAGGATGTCAGTGGAGGTTAGGATGCAGCAGAAGTGCCCCTCCCATAATAATGAGGAACTCTGCTAGTAATGTAAGTGGCAGCATATCCACCTCACCCAAGACAGCCTTATAATTCTGAATTGTATTATAACTTTCTCGGATCACTAAAACTTACATACAAGGTGAGTTTTCAAGTGCTCCCGGATTCTTCTTGAAGTATTTGTTGTTCTGTGCTGTCAAATGAAACTGGCTACCCTAGCAGGATTTTCAAGGTAAATGAGATATTTCAGGAGTGGGTTTACCAGTTACACCCCACCTCAAGCTCCAGTGAGTTTCCATGGCCACGGAGGGACACAAACCCAGTTTTAGTCCATTTGTTCTATCCAATCTACCACACTGGGTAGGTTTCTGATATACTGTAAGTGCTATAAAATACACAAACTCAATCTTAGTCCATGGGAAGTCTTCAGATACAGATTATTATAAAATATGCATCACAAAATACTGGTCAAGAGAGAATAAGATAGGAAAATTTCATTTGAAAATAACAGCCAGAACACTAACAGATCAGAAAATAAAATCAGGGTTAACCAAGAAGGATGAGGAGCTTTGTTTAAACATCATGCTGGCATGTACAATGTCACTATGCTCTAGAACAGTGGTTCTTAACCTGGGCGATAATGCCCCCCAGGGGGCGATTTCATTTTTCAGGAGGGGCAGTAGAACGAAAAGGGGCAGCGTGGGGGCGCTGGAGCAGAAGGGGGGCGGTAGGGGGTGTTGGAGCAAGCCAAACCTGTGCAGCCTTTTTACAATGTGCATGAGTATATATTTTCCTCCTATCTTAATTTAGTTTCAGAGTTTTCGTCTTGAAATTTTTAGTTCCTGCATTTTATGCCCTTTTAATATTTCTTTTTGAGTCTTAAAATTCGCTTGCAACTAAATCATTAAATGTTACTTTTTGGGGGCATTTCATTTTCTGGGAATTGAATTTTGTTTTCAGGGGTCATTGGTTTTAAGTGTCTTAAATAAACAAACAAACAAACAGACAAACAAATAAATAAGATCTAATAAGAAATAAGAGGGGGGCGATGATAACTTCCTCAATGGCTCAAGGGGGTGTTTCTTTCAAAAAGGTTAAGAACCACTGCTCTAGAAGCTAGCAGTGAGTTCATAAACAAGAGAGAATAATGGAAGTTCAAGGGAGATACAGTGGATGGGTCTGTTAAGGCAACTAGAACCTAATTAAATCCCAATTCAGTGTGTGTATTCTTGGCTCTCATGATTTCTACAAGATTTCTACAGATTTATTGAAACAGTCATTTCATACTTGGGGCCAATTCACAAGCAAGGAAGAGAAAGCACACGTTGGCTTTCATTTTTCAGTGTGAAAAAAGCTCTTTAATTTTTGGCTAATCCTGCTGGGTCTTTTAGGACAAACAGCCACTGAATGGAAAAGCCACCTCCAGTATGTATATGAATGCAGCACAAACACACTGTGCAGAAACAGGTGGTTTGCAAGTAATGGTCCCTCTGCTTTAGAGTACCAAACAGTGGTAAAATCATTCACATGGAAGTGACAAAAAAGAAAAGAAAGAAAAAGGAGGTATTCATATTTTCACCTTTCAGTGGAACACCCTCTGATACTGTACCAAGTACTGTAGTATCAGCCTTTGTAAAAATGACTTACAAGTTACCAAGGCAACGTGGATTTCAATTCTATCCCTAAATCTTTCATGATGCTTTGGTGCATATGCTCTCTCTCTCTCTCTCTCTCTCTCTCTCTCTCTCTCTCTCTCTCTCTCTGTGTGGGTGTGTGGGTGTGCGCGCGCAACCAATAAAGTATATTATTTTAAGTATCTCCCAACAATGGTCATGCAGAATGTAGAATACCCCTTTTGCTGTACACTAGAACTGGCCCTTTCATGTATTCTTAAGTGCATGCAATCCAGTCAAATGATTGTGTGTGTATGTTCTGTGCTGTCAAGTCAGAACCAACTTATAGAGACCCTAATAGGGCTTTCAAGGTAAATGAGCTATTTAAGGAGTGGTTTTACCAGTTCCACACCCCCAGGGAGTTTCAATGGCTGAAGGGGGAATCAAACCGTGGTCTTCAGAATCCTGGTCCATCACTCTCTCCACTACACCACACTGGGAATGCTCATGATAAATAATAGAATAAATAAGCAAATAATCTATAAAAATGTGTGCCTTGCCAACGGCCATGAACAGAAGCAGATTTAAATCAAAGAAAAGAAAGAGATCTTGCTTGCTTGAGCCAGATCTTTCTTTTCTGCTCCATTCATAGGCCAATATCGTACTGAGTTTCAGCTGAGCAGAAAATCTCACCAATCTAAACACAGACAGGATCATGCTGCTTCCACAGCAGTTGTGGGAATGCATATGATAATCTTCATGAAGAAAAGTTAATTGTGCAATGGGCAACTCACAAGATCTTACATTACTATGTCAGTGGACTTTCTGCTTGGAAAAACCTCAACAGGAGCCATTCATAAGGACTACATGACCTCTCCAATTCAGAAGGCTGATCATCACTATGGGACAAAAATGTTTCTCCCCCATGCTGCACCCCTCCCAGCTACCAAGTCTGTCTCACTGTCAAAGTGGTGACTGACAGCAGTGGAAGATAATGCAGTGGAGGACCCTGATGAGAAAAGAATATTCCAATAAGCACTAAAAGAAGTCATTATGTTTGCTAGCTCTGCCAGTTTGCTAAAGCCATCGCACCTCAGCCCCATATGCATACAGAATTAGGCCACCCCCACCATTCATACCTATGACAACACAATAGCACAAACACCTTCAGTGCATAATAATCAGAGTTTTGTATCCTTTATTGCAAATGCTTGATTTGATTATCTGACCTGATGATCTGACAATTGTCCAGCTGGCTTCCTATATACTGTACATGTACCAATGTTTGCTCCCTATTGTATATTCTTTCACAGAAACTAGAACCACTGTCTATGGTAGACGCCCCATGCAATGCATTAGTTCTCACGCAGTAGTGAATAATGCACAACCCCTTTTCATTTTTATTTAATTAAGAGAACATATTTTATTTATGCACCAGCACTGATGGCACACCCCTTACTTCTCAGAAGGAAGATATGACTGAATGACAGAAGTACTATCACAACTGTGGGTATTTGTTTACAGATACAGAAACTTATATTTTTAGTTGTATTTATTTCTATAGAATACAACAACACTGTGAATTTTGGGGTTGTCTAAAATGTCTCATTATTTTTAGTATATTTATTCCTGGGTTCTATTGTTAAACCTCCATTACAAAGTTTCAAAGTGAAGTGGAGAAAATAAATTTCTTTCACTAAGTAAAAAAAAAAACCTGTTGTTTTTCCGAAGTCAGTGTCAAGGTGTCACATATAAAAAGAATACAGTTTTACATGGAATTGAAACAAACCAGTTCTCTAAAAAAACATGAATGACTGGCTTTGAGTCTTCCATGCTGAGAGGGAAAGTGGGACAATACTCCAGTAAATAAATAATTACAATTTCATAGAAAAAGTACTTGATGGGGGCCCAAAACTGCTTCTGTTTTAATTTGTGTTATTTGAAAAAGCAGTTTAGTTGCATTGGGTAACAAATGTGTGGATTTTTTTTATTCTCTCTAATTCATATCATGCTTATAGGAATCATCTCACCAATTCTTTCTCAGAAGCTGAGTCTAACTTTCTCGCCTGCCGCCCACCCATTCTGCAAATGCAATAGTTGGTGCAATTAACGGATCATAAAATGACATTAGAATCATCCTTTATTTGCATTATTTCAGGGAGAAGGGGCACTTTTATCCTTTAAAATACCCTTTAGTTCAAAATATAATACTGATACAATATATTGGGATGTTTTTTTCTTTGAAGCCATATAGCATCTAAGCCAATTTTATTTGTGGCATACTATGGATACCTCAGTGATTTAAATATCTGGCTACCAAGCCAGGGATTGGGAGTTCAATTCCCCACTGTGCCTCTCAGAAGAGCCAGGCTATGTCATCTTGGGCAAGCTGCACAGTCCCAGGATTCCCACAGAAGAACAAGGGAATGGTAAACCATTTCTGTAAACCATTACCTGGAAAACTCTGAAAAGGGTCACCATAGGTCAGAATTGATTTGATGATACATGATAGTGATGATTATAAAAGAATTACTTAGTCTTCAAGGTTCCACAAGGCCCCTTCTTGTTTTAGACTGTAACTCTGTCCATCTTTATTTGGGACTAAGCCCACCTGAATACAATGGGCTGGTCCCAACAGAAACATATAGGATTGTTTTCAAGTGTGCCACTTATTTTAACCCTTCCGGTTTCATTTCATTTCATAATATATCAGTGAACCCTCAACAAAAAAGGGAAACTAAGCACTGTTCATTGTCTAGACATCACTTATCAAACATCTAAGTGCCTGATTTACAAATGTGAGGATGAAGATCTAGGTGTTCTGCCTAACTCCAAGGCTTTGTGTGTGTGTCAGAAAGACCACCGTGACATCGGGAATGATGACAGAAATGTGTGTGTGTGTGTGTCAGAAAGACCACCGTGACATCGGGAATGATGACAGAAAACGCACGTGTCTTCCCCTCGCTGTGGGCAGCCATTCTCGCGGGGGGGGGGAAGCGGGTGGCAAAGTGCATTTTTTCACCCACAGGTGACTTTCGGAACTAATGGGGTTGGCTAGGCTGCAACATCACAGCAAGTTAAAAAACAACACACACCTAGAAATCTAACAGAGTGAAAGAGCCATTCTTGCAGGCAGGGCTACCAGTGCCACCCTTTCCAAAACCCGGTGGAGCTGCGGCGTTTTGCCCTGAGGATCTACATCAACCCAAGCCCCCACCCCACCCGCCACCTGTCCATAACTGTGGAGATGGAGGAAGGGGGGAGGCGGACTTCTCTCGTCCTTTCCAAAGAGTAATGGGGAGGTTAGGCCACTTGGAATTGCGGACCGGTTGTTCCACCCGGGCGGGAAAGGGAAGGCTAGCCGGGGCTGATGACCCATAATCGGCCTTCTCCCTGATGGAGAGAGAGATCCACCACCCCACCACTCCTGCGCCCGCAGTCACCTCGACAAAGGAGGGCGCGCAATCCCTGCCACCCGCAGAGGCCTCAGGCATCCTTTGGCCTTCGCCGCTTCCCTTGCACAGGGAAAAAGGGGGTGCTGCAGGCGCCCCGCCACCAGCGAGGCCGTTTCACCCACTTGCTGAGCGCCGCCGCCGCCCGCCAAGCCTCTTCCCCGCGTTTCCTGCACGGTCAAAACGGTGCCCCGCTGCCCTGCCTCGCCCCCGTCCTCTCCTACGCATCCCTGCTGGGGAGGGGGCGACACCAAAGCGCCTCGCAGTTGGGGTCTGCTTCGCCCCTCCCCGCTGCGCGCCCCCCGCCCCCTCTTGAATTACCTGTTTTGATGAGCCGTGGGAAAGCTCGCTCTCCTCTTCTGCCCGCGAGGAAAATCCGTGGCCGCTCACTCGCCCTCCCTCGCTTCCCTTCCCCTCCCCCACCGCCCTCCTCCTCCTCCTCCTCCTCCTGAGTGAGTGGAAAGTGGTTGTCACTCCCCAAAGCCAGGCAGGGAGAAAAAGATGCCGTCCAGGCAGTTTCCCGGAGCGCCAAATAAAGACAAGTCCGAACGAGGAGAGCGGCGCTGACAGAGATGGAGCAAGGACGCACAAAAGGGGGGCGGAGTGTGGAAATGCGGAGAGGACCTGCCAACGGCGGCGGCATGGCGGCATGGGTGGGTGGCTGGGTGGGGAGACCCCCACGCTCGCCAGCACTCCCCTCGGGGCTCGGGCTGACAGGAAAAAATGGGAAGTGGGGGCTTTAATGAACGACTTGGGAGCAAGGCCTCCCTCCCCACGAAAACCGATGCTGCCGTGACGGGTATGACTGAAGAAAATGAGCTATGAGGCACGAAAATTCCCGCTGAAATAAATCCATCAGCCTCATCTTTCAAGACTTTGCGTTTTGTTGGTTGCGTTTGGCATGAGGGGGAGCAGGTTGGGTGGATGGCTGGGCCGGCCTGTGAAAAAGATGAGGCAAACATTCCAGGTAATGAGTTATTACTAATTCTCCCTCCCCCCCCTCTCTCTCACACACACACACACACACGCACACACGCACGCACGCACGCACACACACAAATAAAAGAGAGCCCTGTGGTCCAAGAGGTGATACCTTCATTAGACCACTTTTAAAAAAAGCAAACAATTTGCAAGCTTTCAGGGTTCAAACCCACTTCTTCAGGCTAAGCACCAATACTACAGAAAAATTATTATAGATGAGCATCCCAAAAATTCATGGCAAAAGTCAGCCAGGTGTACTTACAAAGATGAGTTCAACTGCTGGCTGCAGACTACCTAGGGGTATGTGGGCACTTTTTCCTCACAGGCCCCTAGCCAAGCAGAAACCTTACATTTCACCTGGAAAGTACTAAAGTGTGTGTGTGTGGGGGGGATATATGCAGATTGACTTAGTAGATTTTTTAAAAAATTGAAAACCTGATTGGAAAATTCCAGGCCAATATTGCCAGGGGTAAAGTTTCAAACCACCACCTCACATTGATAGTTTGCAACCAGCGACTGATCTCATCTTAAGAGTATTTCTGCCGTGAATTTTTGGGACCCTCATCTATAATAATTTTTCCACAATTTTTCTGCTTAGCCTGAAGAAGTGGATTTGAACCCCCAAAGCTTGCAAATTGTTTTTAAAGTGGTCTAAAAACCCTTCCTACATTTGTAACTACATTATTACTTAGTGAAGACAGCATAAGTAGGAGAAAAGTTTTCCAGTGCTCATTCCAAACACCACCCATGGCTATGTAATATCCAGCCTGATGAAGACTTCTGTGAAAGCTAACTTTGGTTTGTGATATTTTAATTATAAAATAAAGATATAATCTACCCTTGTCTTCAGACTGTGTACATGGACTACATGGTGCTTTTTTTTCTTTTTGTTATGCTGTGCAAGGTATCCTTAGCATAGCATTTTGCACTGTATTTTCCACCAGTGGATCTCCAGTTACTTTTTCAGAATTCAATATGCTTAGCAACCTCTTGCTAAATCTTTTATTATCAGACACCGGTGTATCAAGTCTACATTTATTAATAATAAATTTGAACCATAAATTATCAGACATATTGGAAATAAATTTCAATAGAAGACAACATTCCTGTCTATACAATACTTTCCAGTCTTTCTGACTAAGACTTCAGTCAACCACATAATAGTCTAAAGTAGATGGACTTGGGGAAACATAACAGATATTTATAGTAATACACACTATTAAAGTAATAGGACAAAGTCCTAAGGGAAACAAAATAGGGAAGCTTACATCTTGACTGCATTCCTATAATGAATGTTACTTTTAGTTTGGCTAGTCAGTCTGTTTATTCAAAATAACATACTGTATCCTGTATTTTCGTTGTGAAGAGGCAGTACATGTCCTTCAACTAATATAGCTGTTTCTTGCTCAGGTGGAACTTGATTCGTATTCCTTTGAAAATAGACCCTCTGGCAGGCTGTGTCTATGAAAACAATTCCCAGACCTACTGTGGGAGGGACAGTAATGGTATGCATCTAAATATGGAATGCAGCAGCACAGAATGTCCTAGTGCCAAGAGCCTTCAGTGCAGATTCCTGTGAAATGGCACCAAATGCAACATTCATACAAACCTGTGTTAGCACAAACTAACGGTTTATGCTTCCACTGTATGTTATATTAATTCATTCATAAGAAACTCAGTCTTCTATGTCTGGTCTTGGTAGAATTAGGTGAGATTATAAATGTAAGATTTCTTTAATTATTATAATACAGTAAAGGGTTTCCAAATATATGAATGTTTAATATCTTATTTGATCAGAACTAGTTAGTGCCCAACATCATGCTGTGGACAAGAAGAGGATTTCCAGTCATTCATCTCTTAATGCACATCAGGATTCCATATGGGCCCCTAATTTGTGCATTAGTACAAAATTGTTGGGCATTAGAAGCATGCAGCAGGAAAGCCCAAGACCTTTTGCTACCAGAGTCAAATAACCTTGCATTCCAAGTACTGTATAAAAGTGGGCTGAAGTGATAGTTGACCTGTTCCTTAACACTGATGTTGAAACAGCATCCTTCACCATTCCTGAAGTCAAAAGGTTAGCTAAGGGGTAAAGAGTACACCTTGCAGCTCATCTGCTTCCTCTCACATCTTGATGCCACTAACCAGAAGCTGCTGTCTCACTTAATGGCACAAATTAATCTGAGATGTGTGCCTTCCAGCTAAAGTTTATTATTGTTGTTATTTTTTTTAAAGACCTACTACGACAACAATGATGAAACACCAGACACAGTCAATATTATAAAAACATTGACTGGTATTATATAACATACAAGTTTTAACCAAAAACATAAGTATCAGTTAAATATTGGTGCAGTATGTATGCTGTTCCTAATATTGCCATTTTTGTTGCTCTGATGGTGTGATTTCTGAGATCTGCAACTGCTTATAGTACTATGTGAAGTTTCTTGATATTGTTTCCAAAGTCCCAATGACTTCAGGGACAATTGAAGTATGTTTCATCCACAAGTGAGATGTTTCGATTGCCAGGTCTCTGTACTTTGTTAGTTTTTCCAATTCTTTATTTTCAACTCTGGCATCCCCTGGAATTGCAATATCAATAATCCCATAAGATCTCGACTTCCTCATTTTCTGATACCTTCTCTACCTGATGTTCCCTCAGGTTTTTGGAGGCTAGCTAATATGATGATGATGATGATGATGATGATGATGATGATGATGATGATGATGATGATGATGATGATGATTGCCTTTCCACTACTATGCTCACTTACACAATAATTATAAGGCAATAAATAGAGGAAGTAGAGACAAATTTAACCATAAAACCATTAAACTCAAATAAAATGAGCAAGACCTTTAAAACTATAAAAACCAATAAATCTACAGTTAAAATCTACATCACAATAAATTCAACAGTACCATAAGTCTGTTTAGAAATAGGTGCCTTCACATCCTCCTTACAGTACAACTACTGTAATGGTGAAATATTACAGGATTTGCTCCATTTATGAAACAGGTGAATTTTAAGGGTTTTTAAAACTGACCAGATGATGCAAAGGCTGTTTTGAATTGGTCCAGCCCTTTTTGGCACCAAAGCAGCTTTTTTTCTCGGCTGCCGGGGCAGGTGTCTCTATTTTTTGAAACCAGAAATATTTGAATGGGCTTTTTCCAGTGTGGTTAGTTGTTATATGTTCTTGTAAAAATGGGGGCATTATCTGTAGGCAGACCAGCACTATAAGTGCATTCATATGGTACTGATGCTTTGCATGGTGATGTGAGCAGAGCTGTAACCAGGGCAGGACAATCAGGACTGTATTTTTTTCAAAATACAATTTTGGTGTCCCAGGGCATCGAATTTAGAGGACACATTGCTTCTCACAGACTTGCAAGACTGGCCGAGCAACCTAGTATACAACAGTAGAAAAATACAGCTGACGATCAAGTCTCCAGGACAAATTTTGCAGATTTTTGGCAGGCTGTGCAGCAGGGCACCGGGAGAACAGAGGAAAGATGGTCAATATTACAGGACCTGCAGAGGCAGCAGAGGCCTGGCCTACCCAGGGCTCAGCAGGCCAGGCTGTAGCCCACTGAAATTGGCATCCAGACAGAGGGCTGGTCTGCCTGAATTTTGTGGATAAACTAGGACTCCTTCGCGGAGCTGCAGGTCTATTTGAAGCTCAGTAAACCAGTGTGAAAGTTAAAGATGGTTTAAACCTGAAATTGAGCTGTCCCTTTGATCATCAGGAGCAGAAGGAATCGACAACAAAATTCCACCTCTGTTTGAGGGCACTGTAATATAATATAGGCAGTAATTCAGGCCAAAATGGCTTAGGGCCCAAAATCTAAAGGTTTGCTTTCTCCCATGTGAGATGACCTGAGTGCTACAATTCCTTTTGGAGTTCCTTTGCATTCTCAAGTTACCTGGTGGTAACTGAAGATAGGGTCTTTTTAATTGTGGCACCTTGCATGTGGAATCCCATTCCTGGAAAGATTTGCTTGACAACAACCCTCATGTCTTTTCAATGCCAGATGAAGACCTTTTACTTGACACACATTTCCTAGCACATAACCTAGTTAATTTTATTTCTGCTGCCACAGTACATTTATGCGGTTTTATTGTTTTAAATCACAGTGGTTTTATTTTTGTAAGTTACTGTATTTCTCACCTGCTGCAGGAGTTTTACAGATGGAGATAAGGAAATAAATAAATCCTGAAATGAATAAAAGAAAGTTTGTCTCTGCATCCTACTTCTTTTACCTTTCCAAACAGGTACTTAGTTGTGCTGAAAATTATTTGCCGTCTAGAGATAAATTAGTATGCTCACTGGGCCTTTGTTAATTTCTTTGATTTTCTAACTTACAAACAAATATTTTTCAGCATTACTGAGGCTATCCAAGTTTGCTGTATTTAAGTACAGAGAACCCACTGCTGGTCTGTGGGTGGACCCATTTCTCTGATCTACAAGCAGGCACAGAACAGAAGAGATGATGGAAAAAAACTGGAAGTGTGACTCACCTACATTCAGCAAAGTTCTATGGGGGAAAAAAAGACAATTTATATAATTGATTAGCACTTCCACTGAATAAGGTGGAATAAGGCTTAATCTTTGGCTGAATAATGCCCAAAGTGATCATAAATATAATTCTCAATAAATCTATCATTAACAGTGCTCTAAACCTGCTCCTCAAAAATAAATGTTGTATCTAAAAAATAAAGTAATAATACTGTACAGTAATTAAATATTGTACCTAAATACTGAATTATTTTGATGTGCATGTGAGCTTTTGTTCTTAAAAAAAAAGAAAATAAGGTTAGCTCCTGGTTATAATGATACGCCATCTTTCCCACACAAGATCCCATGGTGTGTACA